TCTTTACATGCGGCTAACTCAGGGCTATCCGTGAGTCTGAGCCGTTCATTTAAGTGTACACACAGTTTACATTTCACCTCTTTGATATTGAAACCGCAGACCGAATACACAATTACTTTTCGTTCATTTGTTATCCGTTCGCGGGTTAATTCCAATATGGCTGACGGGTCGTCTGCTTCATCGTCTGGCTCCTTGAGATTGAAGAGTTTCGGCTTCACTTGAATCCCGGGGCAGCTCGGATGGCGACTGAAACTCTTTACTGGTTTTTAATCTTTCAAACAAACATTGGATGGTGCGAAGATTGGAATAAATTGCATAACAAAACAGTCTGTCTCTGCCACGATGTGGTGTTGGTCCAACGAAGGATGTCCAGCGTTGAGCTTTGCGGTCACTCCATCTGAGCTGTATCTTGCTGGTTCTGTTTGTTGTATGTTTGAGGGAAAATATAAATGATTTCAGATTAAATGTCCAGCCAGTTCGCTTAAAACTTTAATCTTTATTATCAAGTTATTCTTTAATGTCCAGTCAGTTGGGATATGACCGCTAGGCTTTAACATGTGTGTTTGACAAAATATGAAAGGTGCCAAGCAGCCTGTACCGATTAGTTTAACCACGGTATGATCAGAGGATAGGCAATCGGCTGCCCTCTCCGTATCAATGGATGCAACAACCTGATCTATCCATAAGCAGCCGGCTACCCTCACCCATCTACCAACTGACACAACCAACCTGGTCTGTCAATAGGCAGCCGGCTACCCTTCCCCTCTGTCAATAGGCAGCCGGCTACCACCCCTCTACCAACTGACACAACCAACCTGGTCTGACAATAGGCAGCCGGCTACCCTCCCCCTCTACCAACTGACACAACCAACCTGGCCTGACAATAGGCAGCCGGCTACCCTCCCCCTCTACCAACTGACACAACCAACCTGGCCTGACAATAGGCAGCCGGCTACCCTCCCCTCTACCAACTGACACAACCAACCTGGTCTGACAATAGGCAGCCGGCTACCCTCCCCCTCTACCAACTGACACAACCAACCTGGTCTGACAATAGGCAGCCGGCTACCCTCCCCTCTACCAACTGACACAACCAACCTGGTCTGACAATAGGCAGCCGGCTACCCGCTCCCTGTATCATGGGCGATGGGGTAGCGTAGTGGTCAAAGTGTTGGCTCGTGACGCTGAAGACCTGGGTTCGATTCCCAAAATGATTACAATGTGTGAAGACCATTTCTGGTGTCCCCAGCCGTGATATTGCTGGAATTTTGCTAAAAGCGGCACAAAACCATACTCATTCACTCTTCCTGTACCAACTGACACAACCATCCTGATCTGGCAATAGGCTGTCGGCTATCCTCAACAGTGTATCCATGAGCACAAAGCATCTGGACAAACAGGTCAGTGTATTCGGATGGTTTTCTCATTAAAACCAAGACGTGGCCTAAACCATATATCTCGGTCATTCTTAAATCCTTTTACAAATAACCTCTCTGTGAAGTGACAAGCCAAATGCAGTGGCTACGCGTTGCGAAGAAAGTGCTATCTGTATATTTTTAGCAAGGAAGTCTTTGAAGTTAGCCGTAATAATGCCTTGGACAGTCTTCAAGCTGACCACATTTAAAACCTAGCCATGCACGGGCAATTTGTTTTGTCGGCTGACTTTGACTTTAGTGCTGAAGACCTTTGTGAAAGGAAAGCCAAGAAGAGACTGTCATCTCTTACATCGCCTTTAAAACGTAAATTGAAATCAAACGTAGATTCACGATGTGCTATTCATATTCATTTGCTGCCTATCAGCGAAGGTTATATTAGGTTTTAACCAGTACACGTTACCTAGATAGAGTTAACACTCAACTGCCCACGATACGCGAAAGCATTGGCGTTACGAGTCAGTAAGGCTTGAAGATATTATCCATCAATATCGCGCCTATGGGGGGACACAAGAAATGGGCTTAATTTACAAAGAGAACCTTTGGGAAAACGAACCCGGGGTTCCCAGGTGAGGATAAATAAAACAGAGTACAGTTCAAGGTAAACTTGCACAAGTCTCTAAGGTAATAATATATAGATAAAATGAAAATTTCTAAAACAAAAACAAATATAAATTGGGGCCCTTCTACTGTCCGCTCATCTAGACTAGCCTCTTTAAAGAATACAATTACTATACATCCACGAACTTAGCATTCCGTACAGGTAGGTTTTTTACCTAAAGTTTAGCTGCTCTCTGTTCAGAACGAGGTACACCGAACCTAAGCGGCTGAAGTGATTTTTCTCAACACATCGTGGAATATGGTGCAATAATAATGATAATGATACGCATTTATAATGCGCAGCAATCAAAGTCTGTTGTGCACTACGCGCTGGCAATTTGGACATCAGAAGGCATCGCTGAAGAGATGAGCTTTGAGTCTGCTTTTGAATGTTGAAATGTAACAAACACATGATCAGATTGAGAATTGTTGTATATTCAATTTGTAAATTGTTGCAGTCCCACTCAGCATTGAAAGTCATTTAATATTCAATCAGCCGTCCTAAACAGAAACACCAATGGACGGTAAGTAATCAAGAGCTGTTAACCAATCATTAGGTATGAGTGAGTGAATTGGGTTCAACGCCGCTTTGAACAGTCTTCCAGTTGCATCAGGGTGTGTCAGCCTAAAGGGGAGGAAAGCCCGAATTGATGGAGATCTCAGACGATTGAAACCCACGAGTTTCCACGAATATGGTGCTGACGAACCCAGAAACGTAATTAGTGCGAACGGGATTCGAACCCACGAGAGGGCCTGTAAGTCTCGCGAGGCGCTACTTCCGGTACTAAGCTGGTTCCCGGCTCCTTTTGCGCGCGCCAACTTGCGATATTGGAGACGGGGCCCAGCTTACTTCCGGTACTAGATTTCCGGTGACAAGCACACTCCGGCGCAGTGATGACTTAGCATAACATCACTGCCACGGGCTAATTTGCATATCATGTGACCGGACTTTTCCCTTGTTTGTAAACAAACCCGCATACTCGTAAATAAGAAGAGACTGACCTAGCGCAAGCTTTTCGGCACGCTCTTCATAATGTTTTACATTGTTACATAAATATTGTTCTACATCTGAGAGAGTAAGGTTTATGATACTACATGTTTATATATCAAACGGGCTGCATCGTTTGCTCTCCGTCGGCTTCGATGACAGCACGTGGAGCCGTACAACCAATGTAAAAAAGGATCGTCTACGCAAATCGAAATAGTGTTACACGTTTTAGGATATTTTCTCAGTGAAACTAAAGCATTCTATCAAAGATGTTTCATTATATGTGTAGACTAGTCAAACATAAAAGATTTAAGAAATATGTACATTATATTGAATGGACTGTGTAAGATGTGACGAATCGTCACATCGTTCTGGCCTGTGGCAGAGGTACTATGCTGGAAATCTAGGTAGGAGAGTGGGTGACAAACTTATATTCAAGAACCAGTTCTGGTTCCAAATTGCGAACAAGTGTACAACCATGTTTGGCTGTCACAGCTGTTGACAGTCGCAATAGTTGGCTAATTTGGGGATGATTAAATCGGAAATATGTTATTCCTGCAAGGATTATCGGTTCCCTACTGTCAACTGACAGCCATGAGACAATTCGAAAAGGTATGAAACGTTGTTTGTCACCGGAAGTACTAAGGTCTCGCGAAGTGCCGTGACCTACTTATGGGCCCTATAGGTTTCTGGTCCACCCAAGGGACGCAACTCTACACGGCAAATTGTTGCATCTTTGACGACGCAGCCTCCCTCAGTTTAGTATATGATGACGCTGGTTACATATACATAACACCTCAATTCAGTGACTTTGATGAGTGTGTTCAGTTCGTGTCGTCTTTACTCAAATTATCAAATAGCGATGTGTTTTTTTTCCTCGGGCATTGGGCAACGACATTAGTGGTGTGCACTCAACACAGTTCACTGTTTTCACTCAGAGGTTGGTTGGTTGACTAACGCCGCACAATGTTCTAGCTATATGGCGGCGGTCTGCTAAAAATCAAGTCTGTACCAGGCAATCCAGTGATCAACATCATGAGCATTGGTCTACGCAATTAGCATGCGATGACATGACGAGGGTTGGACAAAACCCCACCCAGACAAAATCCCATAGGACAAAATGTCTGCACACTGCGGACAAGATCCCAACAGTATGAAAAATGACATACAATTTATTTTGAAATAGATATCTATATTTTTCCTCATAAATAAGCAGTATTGGTCATAAGAACTAATAACATAATTCAACACTTCCACCTAATACTACCTTAATTTGTAACCTTCTTAGTGTACAAAAATCCATCTAATGCTATTTTAACTCCTCCCTTATTGCTCGGCAGAACTTCCATTTTGGAACACTGAAAAAAACCTGTCATCATCGCCGTTACATTTTCACAATTTATCAATGCAGCCACTGGCCTCTGTTACGAAAACAATCGACTTACCTAACTGGCTTCTGTCATGAAAGCATGCTAAATATAACTGGTGAAAAAGGGTAGCAATAACGTATGAAAATTTTGTCCTATGTTGGTCATTTTGGTGTGGGATATTGTCCAAAGAAATTTTGCCCTATGAGATTTTGTCTGGTTTGGATTTTGTGCCGTCCCCCGAGCCTGACCACCCGATCCCGTATATCACCTCTTACACATGCGCTTTATCGAAGACGGGTCTTCAGCTTAACGAGCGGACGCTCTAACCATTAGGCTACCCCATCGACACTTCAAAAAGATATTTTTGGCTGACTAGTGACATTCCTGGCATTATTACCAATCTCTTGTGTAACCTAGATCAGCCAGAAGATATGGTTCTTTAACGGCATACTTTCGGGAAGCCACCGCACTGTAACGTTGGCTTATCTCATACAAAATAAGTAATCGTCTAATCAGGGTATCCGATAATCTGTTAAGCCACAAATGCGTAGCCAGCATGCAAGTCAGCCATTTACGACAATCTGTCAAAGGTAACCTGCATGTCGGCAACATCAAAGGTGATGATCCAATCGGGGTTTCAGGTGTGAAACAGGTGCAATACGACAGGTGTGTCAAGGAAAGTGTCAACTCATCGCTTAGAATCACGTCATACGGAGTACAATTACCGTTTTAGTAGACACGCAATACCTGTGTAATTACTTCGAACGCCGAATCGGAGTTGTATGGCTTGCTGTATATCACAACCAGTTGAGGAAAATATTTCAAACTTGGCGTTGTTGCTGCGGCGAAATGCTGTTGATTTCAACCCTGGTGGCCCCGGGATTGGGTTTCGGGTGAGTGACACTGAAATGAAATATACTTGTATCGGTCGGCTAACTTTACTCTTTATGCAGCGTCAGTGGGGTCGAAATGGTAGTAGCATCTGAGACAGAAAATATACTTGGTGTTTCAAGAATGGTGATGGTTGAGCTGTTTCATCGCCAACACTGTTGATGTAACTTTAACCACGTGGCGACAGGCACTGCCTGTATGCGTGTCTTTCTATCGTGAGGTGATGTGAAATTAGGTTTACGTCGCTTGAGAGACTATTGCAGTTATACAGCGACGCGCATTTTCGTGCGTATGGCTGCTTGTACTCGTCCGGACTAGCTCACCGGAGACGTCGAACAGTCCTTGTTTTATTCCCCAAACGCCGAGCCCCAGGCAGGGTAATAATAACTACCATTGTTTTAACGTCGTTTGATTATGCCTCGGCCAAGAATCGAATAACCAACCTTCCGCTCTCTAGGCAGATGCTCAATCTACAAGACCACGGTTGGTGATTTGTTGTTTAACGCCACACTCAGCAATATTCCATCTATATGGCTGCGGTCTGTAAATAATCGAGTCAAGACCAGACAATCCAGTAATCAACATCATGAGCATCGATCTACACAATTGGGATACGTTGACATGTGTCAACCACGTCAGCGAGCCTGTCCACCTGATCCTGTTAGTCGCCTCTTACGACAAGCATGGGTTACTGAAGATCAGTTCTAACCCGGATCTTCAAGGGTAACAAGACCACAGATGTGGTCGCATTTCCAACGTTTATCTGAGCTGCATATTTCTGAGACAGGCGCATCGCACCGACATGCCCTTTACTCCGCGGAAAAAAACACGCCATTACTGTCAGAGCTGTATCATATTTTGCTGTCAATGTGTTATTGTTGTGTAATTTTCATAACATTACCCAATTAAGCTTGGTCAACAAATCCTCTTTCAGTTAAACTATTGAAAACACAACTCTTTAAGACATCGCTTAAGTCAGATATACTCTGAGGTAATTAACTACTGTAACAGTGTTTACGTTCGAAGCGTAATGGATAGGAAGCTTTGTTCCTGTTCTTGTACAACGTCAGGACAGTTCTGTGACCAAACCTTATGAAAACAAACTTTTCTGTTTCCTAGAATCCTACACGAACACGATACATTCTCCCCCAGTTCCCAGCCAGATCAATCACAGGGAGGTAACCCAAGCGTCAGCCCACCAGGTGGCTCCACCATTTATAGCCTCGCTGTCGACTTGACGGAAGAACGCGTAGTCTAACGTTGAAGTGTTAACAAATTTACCCACAAAGGAGGGATTTGTCCGTAATTGATGTTATGTCACGGTGTTATGTCCAGATTGATGTAGCCGTGTGTTGTATGAGAGACACTGCATGTTCACAGATTGTAATTACAATGTCTGGTTTCAAGTCGTCTCAAGAGGCCTGTCTGTAGATGCTGTGTCACTTCCAGCCGCTAATGGCTGCAACTATACGCTAACGTCACATCACGGTGTCGAGTTAAGGAGATGCGAGCGACATGCCAGGTTGCACCCGTGCAACTCATTCAAAACCCATTTTAGTCTGCCAGCTTTAACGTTATTATGTTAATAAATCCAGTAGTTGATGGGTATTGTAGTTTGTTCAGAGACAATGTCGAAAATTCACACACGACGCTAATCGCAGGGTGTGTAGACTTGGACTCGATGCAGATTCCATTATCCCCCTTCAACGAATAGTTCATGTAATGAGAATGGACCATGAGGGTTGTACCAAGTGATTGACTATCATACCTGTGCAAAATGTATCAAAGTGGTTGGGATTAAGCAGTGTATGAAATGAGCCAAAAATCCAGCCAGACATCAGGGCTGGTAATTTCAAAATGTCACCAGTCAAAATGTTACCAGACCAAATATGGTGAATTTACTCAGATGTATGGAACATCTAAAAAAAATCCAGACCATCGGGCTGGCTAACTGTAAATTTAGACCGTCCGTCAGAAATCTAGACCGTCTCGGGCGGTCCGACGGGCCTTATTTCATATACTGGATTAAGGTTGGTACAGGTGGCCCCGTCGCCTGAAGTGCCGCATTTCACTACACAGAGTTGCGTCCCTTTGGTACGCCTGAAACCTATGATCTGATATATTTCCAGGTTGGTCAGCACCATACTCGTGTTCATTGTTATCACTTAATCTATACAAATCTTAGGCCTGCATCACTTAGGGATTGCTTGAAACCATCAGGCTATCACATAACTGGAATATGGTTCAAAGCGGATGAACCTAAATCACTCACCATGGGTTGGTCCCAAGTAACCAATGCTAGGCCACTTAATGGAGGCGACTGGTGACCTACCATTGTATCTCCCACTGGATCGACTGTCTGGTCAGACTAATAAATGGACATTTAATGGCTAAATCGCCCAACAAACCAATATCCCGCCCTAGGTGTGCTTGAAGTAGAAATTCTTTAGATGTTTAATGAATGACAGCATGTGTTCAGATTCCTGCAAATCGAGTGCGAGGTGCCTGTACTTGATCTAGGTAATAATACACCCTTAACAATCGAAGGGGGTAATCAGATATGTCATTCTATATATACTCTCAACCTTCATCTCTGAAACCACTTCCTCGATATGTCGGTCTCGACGATAAAAATGCATGGCCAAGCATAAACCTTACTCACACTGTCGTGTTACACCACCCTCACTTATCCCGGGCACTATAGTAAGACTGACTGGCTGACTGAGTTTGGTTTTACGCCGCTTTAAGCAATATTCAAGCAATATCACGGCGGGGGACACCAGAAATGGGCTTCACTCATTGTACCTATGTGGGGATTCGAACCCTGGTCTTCGGCGTGACGAGCCAACGCTTTAACCACTAGACTACCCCACCGCCCCCACTATAGTAAGAGGCAACCAATCTAGTACTATATCCTTATTCTGTTGTAATCCATTTTCTGGATCCATCGCCACCATTGTTTGCTTTCTGCAATAACGACATCTGTCCTATCTTTAACTTCACAATGAATGTCTCTCGCTCGTGAGCGTAATGTGATTGGATGGCTATTTTCACCGCCGTACTAAACCGGCTAGCGCATCGAGTACGAATGAGCTCAGCACGTAACTATGGCAACGAATGACAATAGAATGGCGATGTAATACACCCGATAATCTAGGATCTATCAATACTCTGCTTGTCTCGAAGTAAGTAAATTTCGATGTTTCCAAAATAAAATACTGCACACTGTAAAGCCTCTTTGAAACATTTTTAAATGTATCTGTCAGTCAAATATTGCCAGTGCATGTCCCAAATCTCTGGTTTCGTGTAGAAGCGACTAAACACCTTTATTCATTAATCTTAATGACAGGAAGGATAGTCCAGCTTAACTTGTGACAAACAATACAGATGAGAACAATGTTTCCTCTTCAGAGCTGACAAACAATACGCGCACTTGTCAAACGCTCAAAATGCGTCATTTTATCTCTGAAAAATACATTAAAGAACATTACTCATCTCTGAAAAATACATTAAAGTAAACTTTATAGTCTGTTTACAGTTTTAAATAACAGTTTTTGATTATTTTTCTGAACAATCCATGTTTTGTCAACTATACAATCGTCATTTTGTCAAAAAAGCTGCTTAAAGGGGATCCGGTGATATTAATATAGTGATCCATTTCTGTTTCAGTGGATTGCGTGTTCCCTTAAACTTGGTCAGGGGCGTAGCTACCATTATAAAAAAGCCCGGGCTTACACATGATTTTTGCTATGAAAGTTGTGCAAGCCCTAAAACTATCTAAATATAAAGTTTGCAACCTACCGGGCTTACACGAAAAAATGGCTTGCTACGCGCCTGTTGGTTTATAGGACGGTACTGTATCCCAACGGCGTGGTTTGTTGCTTATCAGTGAGTGAGTGAGTTGGGTTCGAAGATGCTCTGGGTGAGGTGAAATTGGGTTTAACGTGCTTGAGTATGTCATATGACGACGTGCATGCGCATGTATGTAGCCCAGACTGCCCAGACTAAAGCTGGTTTTATAGTGCTAGCCCACTGAGATACCATGCCACAGTGAAGCATGAATACCCAACTCAGACACATCATACTGACCAGTCCGTGTTGTACCCATTAATGCCAAGCGTCAGGCAGGGTCCAACAAGTACCATATGTTAACGTCTTTTGGTATGACGCGGCCGGGGATCGAACCCGCGACCTTCCTCTCTCCGGGCGGACGCTGTCACCACTACACAACGGAGGCGGTCTCAAAGATGTTCTGAACAGTCGTCCGTTGAAAATGTGAGGAAAGCCCAAAGTGATGCAGAGGTGAAGAGATGGTTAAAGGCTCTAGTTCTTTAGCAGATTGCTACGTAACACAGACACTAACAAACGCACGCACGCACGCATAAACTAGTTCCAGATCGTTGGAAACATTACAGATATGCTACATTTTAATTTTTAAAATGAGATACAAACCGCCCAGCCTTCTGATTGTGAAATGTTGCATTCAGTTTTTGACACCTGTTATATCCGATCCAATTTCGTACAAGAAGCAATCCGAATCGGTGGCATCCTCATTAATCCCCTCTGTATAATGCGGACACAAGATAACACAACCTGTGCTACAGTCTAGCAGCTGATGTTTACACCTGTAAAACCGATGTGAGTGAGTGAGTTTTAGATGTACGCCGCTTTTAGCAATATTCCAGCAATATCACGGCGGTGGACACAAAATGGGTCTCAAACATTGTACCCATGTGGTGAATCGAAACCGGGTCTTCGGCGTAAAGAGCGGACGCTGTAACCAATAGGCTACGCTACCGCCCCAAAACCGATATGAAAAGAGGGTGTATATGTTCTCGATGGTAAACTGTTTTAACTTCCAAAACATAGAGCATCCGCCCGGAGAGCGGAAGGTCGTGGGTTCGATCAACGACCGCGTCATACCAAAAGACGTTAAAATATGGTACTTGTTGGTCCCTGCCTGGCGCTCGGCATTAATGGGTACAACAAGGACTGGTCAGCTTGGAGTCAGTATACTGTGTCTGAGTGGGGTATTCATGCTTCACTGTGGAATGGTATCTCAGTGAGCTAGCACTATAAAACCAGCTTCAGTCTGGGCTAGTACAAGCAGCCGCACATACACATACACACGCATGCACGTCGTCATATGGGCGAAATATTCTCAAGCACGACGTAAAACCCAATTTCACCTCACCTCACCACCAAAACATAATCAGTGCATATCAAAACAAAACGTCAGTATGGAACAACATGTGTTGCGGTAGAACGCGTGCATACTTTACTGCTATGAATTACATAAAAAACAATTAGCTTTGTGTAATAAAACCAGTGCAGCATTGTCTGTGCACAGGTGGATCCAGGATTGCTTAAGCTGGTGCATTAAGTAGTACGTGAACTTACATGTGAAGTGGTGTTTTGTGAGCACCTTGTACAGGTGTGCAGAGATACATTACTGATGGCATAAGGCTTTCGTGAACTTCGTTACGCATTCTTGAAATTAATTATCTACTCATGATGAATCACCTGAATCTGTTGATAGTTCCTGCGATACCGAGTGAGTGAGTGAGTGAGTATGTATTTACGCCGCTTTTAGCAATATTCCAGCAATATCACGACGGGGGACACCAGAAATGGGCTTCACACATTGTACCCATGTGGGGAATCGAACCCGGGTCTTCGGCGTGACGAGCCTACGATGCCGACAAACAACGACTGAGTCATCATTTGTGTATTAACAATTTCGAGTACAGACAATCTTTTTGGTCTTATGGACAGTGTGTCCGGCCGTAGGCGGAACGCCGGAGGTTCGATCCTCAATCTCATCTTACAAAATGACGTTAAAAGATGGTACTTGTTGTATTTATAGTAATGGTCACATGACGTTACAGGGAATAAACACAGCATATCAGAGTCGGTACACTATGTTTGGACATCTATACATGTTAAAATTGAGTCATGGTATTTCACTGGATTAGTACTATGAAAGTGATATACGCACGCACGCACGCACGCACGCACGCACGCACGCACGCACGCACGCTACGTAAGGGCAGTAATTTTACCCCGTTGCACCTCACCAAGCGCGGTAGGATATCGGTCAAGGGGAAAATATAACATCCAAATGTCAGTTTTATGTGCTACTCCTGGATTTTTACTAATTGACAACCGCCTCCGTGGTGTAGTGGTTAGACTGAGTGAGTGAGTGAGTTTAGTTTTACGCCGCTTTTAGCAATATTCCAGCAATATCACGGCGTGGGACACCAGAAATGGGCTTCACACAGTGTACCCATGTGGGGAATCGAACCCAGGTCTTCGGCGTGACGAGCGAACGCTTTAACCACTAGGCTACCCCACCGCCCTGTAGTGGTTAGAGCGTCCGTGGGCTAGCACTATAAAACCAGCTTAAGTCTGGACTAGTACAAGCAGCCGCACATACGCACATACACATACACACGCATGCACGTCGTCATATGAGCGAAATATTCTCAAGCACGACGTTAAACCCAATTTCACCTTACCTCACTAATTGACAAGAAGCGGCGTAAAATTATTGTCACTCACCCGCTGCATCGTAGAAATACCTAACGTGAAATAGACCAAAG